TCCTGTTTAGTACTCTGATGACTGCAGCATCATAATCTACCTTGATACTAGCAGTGGAGACTGTCTTCTTTCCCAGGAGTATCTTTGTTCTACACACTTTTGTTTCTTCACATTTTGTTTGTTTTGTGTGTATAAATATGTATGGCATAGATGTATGCCCATACTCAGAGGCCAAAGGAGGAGATCCAGGTACCTTCTATCACTCTCACTTTATTCTCCTAAAACAGTGTTTCTCAGCAAACTTGAAGAGCTAGGCTGACAGGTAGCAAGCCCCAGTGATCCTCCTAGCTCTAATGCTCTTAACCTTGCTTTTTACGTAGGTGCTAAGGACTTGAACTCAGATTCTTGTGCTTGCATAGCAAGTACTTTCACCCTCTGAACCCCAGCCCTTCTATACAAATTTAGGATCAGCCTGCCATTTCCTTGAGAGAAAATTCCAAGTTAAGAACTTTATTAGAGGGCCATCATGGTGGTACATGCCTTTAATCCCAGCACTTGGGTGGCAGAGACAGGCAATAAAATTGAGGCTAGCCTGGTCTACATAGCTAGCTGAGGATATTGGCAGACCCTCTCTCAGAAAACAAAACAAAGACAAAAAAAACAAACCTTTATTAAAATGGCTATAAAGATGGCGCAGCAGTTAAAAGCTCTTGTAGAGGACCTGAGTTCAGTTCCCAGCACCCACATGGTGGTTCATAACCACCTGTAAGAAGGGGATCCAGGGGCTGGAGAGATGGCTCAGCAGTTAAGAACACTGGTTGTTCTTGCAGAAGACCTGAGTTCAAATCCCAGCACCCACATGGCAGCTAACAACTGTCTGTAACTCCAGTCCCAGGGTGTCCGACAGCCTCTTCTGACCTCCATGGGCATTGCATGACACGGGTGTACTTACGTATATGCAATAAATGCACACACATAAAATAAAAAAATAAAATTTAAAAAAAAGAAAGAAAGAAAGAAGGGGATCCAACACCCTCTTCTGGACTCTTGAGCACCTGTGCTCAGACATGCACATACATATACATACAGGTAATTTAATCCCAACACTGGGAAGGCAGAGGCAAGTGGATCTTTGTGAAATTAAGGCCAATTTGGTTTACATAGGGTGTTCTAGGCCAGCTGGGGCTATAGGAGAGACCCTGTCTCAAAATAGACAAACAAAACAAAACAAAAAATAAAAATAACTTTAAGCTGGGCGTGGTGGTGCACACCTTTAATCCCAGCACTCAGGAGGCAGAGGCAGGTGGATCTCTGTGAGTTCAAGGCCAGCCTGATCTACATAGTGAGTTCCAGGACAGCTGGGGCTACAGGGAGACCCTGTCTCAAAAAGACAAAAAAAAAAAAAAAAAAAAACTATTAACTTTATTAGAATTGTTTATAGATCAGGTTGGGAAGAATGGACATCTGAGTGATTTGTGTATGTGTACAGGTGTGTTACATGTGTGCATTAGAAAGGTGAGGTCAATGTTGTGTCTTCCTCTATCACCCCTCCCCTCCATCTAATTTCTTTTTAATTTTTTAGTTTATTTTTATTTTATGTGTATATGTGGTTTTTTGCCTGAATGTTAAGTGCACTTATGTCCTCTGCCTGCAGAGACCAGAAGAGAGTGTTGGATCCCCTGGAGCATTCACCACCATGTAGGTGCTGGGAACTGAACCTGAGTCTTCTCTAAGAGTAGCCAGTGCTCTTAACCACTGAGCCATCTCTCAGCCCCATCCCTTCACCTTATTTTTTGAGACAGAAACTCTTCAGTGAACACTGTTTAGGCTAGACTGGCTGGATTAGCCTTTCTCTTCCTCCCCTAACACTGAAGATAAACACTGCAGGCCAGCACTCAAGAGACAGAAAGCATGCAGATCTCTGAGTTCGAAGCCAGGCTGGCTACATAGCGAGGTTCAGGCCAGCTGGGGCTAACAGGGAGACCCTGTCTCAAAAAGACAAAAACCCACTTCCATGCCTGACTGTGGCATGGGTGCTAGGGATCTGAACCAGAAGGTCTTCCTGCTTGCACACCAAGCAGTTTACCCACTGAGCCATCTCCCAGTCCCTGGATGATTTCTTTACTGTTACTTCATCTGCATCCTTTCCATTGTTGGCTTCTACAAGTTCTGATTTCAGATGTTAGCCAGGCCCAGAACAGTGTCAACATGTCTTTAGTCCCAGGACTTGGGAGACAGAAACAGGCAGACATCTAAATTTCAGTGACTATATTTTTCCTTTCGTTTAAAATGTGCTTGGTCTTTTAGTTTGTTGCTGTTGGATGCAGTTAGTATTTTGTCTTGTTTTCCTTGCTTGTTTGCTTTTTGGTACAAAATCTTACATTGTATCCTAGAGCTCTCTATGTAGCAGGCTGATCTTCAACTTGCAACAATGTTCTTGCCTCAGCCCCTCGGTGCCTGGATTACAGGCATGTACACACTACCACTCCTGGCTCTGGTAGGTCTTTTTTTTTTTTCTTTCTTTTTTTTTTTTTTTTTTTTTTTTTTTTTTTTTTTTTTGGTCTTCTTGAGACAGGGTCTCCCTGTAACTCACTATGTAGAACAAAGTGCTGGGTTTAAAGGTATGTACCACCATACCCAAGCGTCTGTTTAGGTATTTCCAAGGCCTAGTTTGAAGTTGTTTTCTTCCAAAGAAGATTTGCATTTCCCAGGAACACTTTCTATTGAATATTTTGCCTTGGAGTTTTCTGCCCACACAAGTAGCTGTGAATTTGGAGTACAAACCACAGGATTTAGTCAAACCCAAAGTGGAATTCTTTTTTCTCTGTAACTCCTCACTCCTGTGTAGCCTCAGGCACTCCATTTAATCTCTCTACATCTGCCCTATCATCTGTGAAATAACATCCTAGTACCTACCGCCTGAGGCTGTAAGGCTGAAATGGAATAATGTGCCTCAAGTGAGGCTGTCAGTGCCCTTTGGCACTAGGGAACTCGCCTATTCCAGCCAATGGGAGTAACCTAGTGACAGCTTCACCCTTGGTGGTTGTGGTGGAAGTGTGTTTTACAGCCCTGATCCTTCGAGACTCAACCCTCAGCTTTGAGAGACAGAGGTGTCTTGCCTTTAGTCTTGGCTGTGGTTGAGAATTGTCTTGGCGGTCATTTGAAATGGTAACAAGAAAAATGACCCTTGATAGAAATATTATTTTCAGATGTTGTAGGAATTGGTCATTTAAAATTTGTAAAAAAAAAAAAATTATTACACCAGGGCTAGAGAGATGCCTCAGCAGTTAAAAACACTGGTTGTTCTTGCAGAAGACCCAGGTTCAAATCCCAGCACCCACATGGTAGCTAACAACTGTCTGTAACTCCAGTTCCAGGGGATCCGACAGCCTCTTCTGACCTCCGAGGGCATTGCACTGCAAGGGTGCACTTACCTACATGCAGGCAATACACGCATACACATAAAATAAAAATAATAAATAAAAATTTTTAAAAATTATTAGACCATGGGTACAGCTCGAACAATTATCTCCATGCATAATAAGGCCCTGGGTTTAATTCTATCACCACACAAAAAAGAAAAAGTTCCTTGTAATTATATGGTAGAACATTAATGATAAGATCTTAGATGCCAGGTGTAGTGGTACACACCTTTAGTCCCAGCACTTGGGAGGCAGAGGCAGGCAAATCTTTGTGAGTTCAAGGTCAGCCTGGTCTGCCTAGTGAGTTCCAGCCAGCTGGGGCTACAGAAAGACCCTGTCTCAAATAGACAAATAATAATAATAATAATGATATTTCAAATTGTTTATAATTTTTAATAGTGTGGGAAGTTGATGGTAATATAAATATAGAATAAAGGGAGAATTTTATTTTATTTATTTATTTTTGGTCTTTTTGAGACAGGGTCTCCCTGTAACCCCAGCTGTCCTGGAACTCACTATGTAGACCAGGCTGGCTTTGAACTCATAGAGATCTGTCTGCCTCTGCCTCCCAAGTGCTGAGATTAAAGGTGTGCGCCACCACACCTGGCAAAGGGAGAATTTTATATTGGCATGAAAATATCTTAAGTCCTTTCTGAAAGAGGGGATTTTAAAAAAGTAAATTTAATAATGCAGTCTTATTTCAGAGTACAGGAGAGCATACTCTCAAGAGGTGCACATAGACAAAGAAAGCAAAACAAAAACATTTAACAACAAGCCAGACCTGGTGGCACATGTTTGTAATCTCAGAACTCGGAAAGCTGAGACAGGAAGATTGTGAGTTCTAGACCAGCCTTGAGACCATTTTAAAAAACAAAACCACAACAAAACAACCTTTAACAACAGCAGAGGTTATGTAGACAGTCCCTAACTTTTAAGATCTTTTAATTTTCTTTTGTTATTACATTGTGTGTGTGTGTGTGCATGTGTGTGCACGTGTGTGCAGATGTGACACCCACACAGAGATCAGTGGGACAACTTGTGGGTATAGGTTCTTTCTACCATGTAGAGCCCAGGGATCAAATTCAGGTCATTAGGCTTGGTGGCAAGCACCTATACCCACTGAACCATCACCAACCCAAGATCTTTCAATTTTCTGAGGATGCAGAAGTGATAACCACACTTCAGCTTTTAATTTTGACCTTTCCTCTGCTAGCAGGGTGCAGTGTGACAGCCTCTCCATGCTGAGTAGGAGCAGGTCCCAGCCAGTCATGCTGTTAAGAGGGGAAATGACTGACACTCAGTGTGGATTGTATTGCTAAGCTGTGATGTTCTGTAGGCTGCAGGCACTGTGTGCATTTTGATCTCAGGATATTTTCAACTTATGATGGGCTTAGTGGTACATTGTAAGATGAGATACATTTGTATATAATATACTTAGCTGACAAGTTGATTTTCTATCCATAAATTGGGTTTCCAGGCTCTTCCCTGTTATTAAGAAAAGGCTCCAGTGCCCTATGTAGGAACTAGTGCAGCAGGTAGGCCAAGGTCTGGCCCAGGTTGGCAGGAGGCCAGGGAGAGGGCAGATTGCTGCCTAAGTGGTTTTCAGAGATGTTGAGCCTCTGCCTCTGTCTTGCCTAGGTCGCAATGAGCCCCTGAAGAAGGAGCGACTCAAGTGGAAGAGTGACTACCCTATGACCGATGGGCAGCTGCGGAGCAAGCGGGATGAGTTCTGGGACACAGCACCTGCCTTTGAGGGCCGCAAGGAGATCTGGGATGCCCTTAAGGCTGCTGCCTATGCTGCCGAGGCTAATGACCATGAGCTGGCTCAAGCCATCCTGGATGGAGCCAGCATCACCCTGCCTCACGGTGAGTAGCCAGGGGTCAGAGCTTTATCCTTGCAGGATGTCAGGGGTCATTGGCACAGTTTAGAGGTGGAGGGGAACCAGTGGCCACCAACATACCAGCAGTTTGTCCAAGCTGGTGGAGGTGGGGAGTACGCATGTGTGTGTGGTTATCTTCTTACTCATTTGAGCAACTCTTTCTGAGCATGGACCAAAAAAACACAAGATAAAATACCAGACATGGTGGCACATGCCTGTAATTCTGGCACTCATGAGGATCCTAGTAAGAAAACGGATGCTATCAGATTAGGGCCCTTAAGACCTCATGTAATTTATTACTTCCAGATAGGCCCATCTCCACATACAGTCACATTACAGTCACATTGGGGTTTGGGATTTCAACAGAAATTTTGGGGACAGCATCAGTGCGTGACAGCAGTCCCCAGTCAACACTGATTGGCCTGCCTTTCCTGCAGGAACCCTCTGTGAATGCTATGATGAACTGGGAAATCGCTACCAGCTACCCATCTACTGCCTGTCACCACCTGTGAACCTGCTGCTGGAGCACATGGAGGAGGAAAGCCTGGAGCCCCCTGAGCCCACCCCCACTGTGCGCCGTGAATTTCCACTGAAAGTGCGCCTCTCCACAGGCAAGGACGTGAGGCTTAGTGCCAGCCTGCCTGACACAGTGGGGCAGCTCAAGAGGCAGCTGCACAGTCAGGAGGGTATTGAGCCATCCTGGCAGAGATGGTTCTTCTCTGGAAAGCTGCTCACAGACCGCACACGGCTCCAGGAAACCAAGATCCAGAAAGATTTTGTCATCCAGGTCATCATCAACCAGCCCCCACCACCCCAGGACTGACAGGTAGCTGCTGACTCCATGGATTTCCTCAGCAGCTGCAGGGCCTAGGCCTGGAGCACGAGGCCCCCATCCTGCCGCTGCCTTCCAGTGCTGTTGTTTTCTTCAAGGGCATCTCCCACTGCCCCGCTGTATGGCTCTGAGTGAGCTGTGAAGGGACTGCCTTCCAGGGGCACTGGAACCACCAGTGCTCAGCACCCAGGGAGCAATCTGTCACACACAGGCCTTGCCAACCTTGTCAGAGAAAAAGGCACCTGCAGTTCTCTACCTGAAGGTTGGAGCCATGGGGGCCAGGCCTGGAGGCCCTGGAACCCAGATTTGTTATCTGGGCCCCCACTGTGCTCACTCCAGTTTTCTGCTCAGGGTTGGAAGCAGTTGCTGTCTCCCTCCTACCACCTCTCCACACCATGACTCTGCCCTGGGCACAGTGCCAGTCCTCTAGAGGGGAGGGAATCACCAGTGAGCCCTAGGGCTTGGGGAGCCTGAGGCAGGCCTCTGCCTCTCCCTGCACCCAGCACAATCAGCAGAAATGAGGCAGGTGGCCAGATAGCTGGGCTTTGTGGCAGGGTTCTGCACAGGGCCATCTACCAGCTGTAACCCAGGTCAGGGGGATGTCCTGCAGCCTGGTCATGGCCCCTCAGCAGCAGAGCCCTGTGTACAGACATGTCTGCATATTTATCAATAAAGCCTTTTGCTCCTCACTTGCCTAGCATTTGACTTTGAGTTCCACAGTGTGCTGGAGCCCAGAGCTCCTGCTGGTATGGGAACAGGGTGGGCGCACAGGAGAGCCTTAAGCTGCTGCTCTCTGGTCCCTAATCCCAACTCCTCTGTGTTCCCATGGGTCCTCAGAAAAAGCCACTTCACATCTGAACACACTTCACTTTAGAGGACGGGCCACCTGCCCTGCCTCCTGGGGCAGTTGCTGGGAGGGTTAAGTGGGAGACATGTGGAAGTGCCAAAAAGTGAAGCAGTACTGTAGAGGGCATGGTGAGCTCTGCTGCTCTGCTCCACCGCCCAACGGGGCCAGCTTGGGGAACTGAGAGTCCCAGTGCCCATGCAGTGTCAGAGTGTGCAGAAGTTTGAGAGAGAAAACAGCTGGTTCCTTGTGTTTCCTCTGGGGAACGTATGCACATCGGCAGAGGAAAATCTCAGATAAGATTTCTCTGAGGGTACCACATGAGCATTGCAGAAGCACAGAGCTGGGGGCCTACTGTCCACCGGCAGGTAAAACCTGGGTCATGATGACCCAGGGGCTTGAGGCTGCAAGTCCCAGGTGTGGAACTGTGCAAGTGCAGATTTGCCTTTCCTCCATGTTACAGTTGGTTCTCAGGCAGCATGGCCAACTCAGGTCAAGGGATCTTGCTACTGCCTAGTGCTCCTTGTCAGCTGGCCTTGGCTCCACACTCTGACTTTTGAGAACCTTCCCTTAAAACAACACTGTAAGTCCTGCCAAGTCCCTTGGGTAGGAGACAGACGGATAGGGTCTGTCCATGGCTAAAGGACATGTGGTCCAATGTTGTGATGTTTCACTAGGGAGTACTGTGAGACCGAGGAGCCGCCACCAGAGGGCATCAGCTACTACAACTCCCACCATCCAGGCCTGGAGATGGGCCCCATAGCCAGTAGGACCTGTTCACAGGGCAGCCTAGAAGCACAAGCCTATTTTGAGGCCCATGTTTCAGGCCCCCTAGCTGGCATTAGCTGGGCAGGATTTCTTGGTATCCGGCAGGTAGCACCACCACCCAAGCCAGAGGCAGCACACAGGTCCTTTGTATAGCCCGGCTGCCCTGGCTAAACCTAGCTAGTCCCCAGCAATCCCAGCACACTGGAGAGATACCTTCCCTCAGCTGTCCTCTTGGGGCACTGTGCCTTCTGATTTAGACCAGAAATTGGGGGAGGGGCAACTGCCCTGGCCCTGGCCATGGCTTTCCCTGCTCCCTGGGGCTGCCCGAGGTGAAGGTGACAGGTGGGAGAAGCAGGTGGAGAATTGAGCCTGTGAGCTCATGGCAAAGGCACCCAGCAGGGTGGGGTGGGTGCTCTCGGCCTATAAAGCCCCCATGCCCTGTGGCCTGCAGATGCAGTCATGGACAACACGATGGAGTGCTCCAAAGCAGTGCAGAGGGCCACGGAGCTCATCGAACAGCGGCTTGCTCAGGAGGAGGAGACTGAGGTGGGAGCTAGGGTTATGGGGGCAGGGTGAGGGAGGTCTCCCGGTTAAGGAGTCCATCGGTGCTGTTACAGGAAGGGAAAACTGGCTGCCACAGTGAGGGGAGGAGGTGGTTTACCCAGGGCCCATTTCCACCCTAGGATGCTCTGGCAGGAGACTGTAGATGGTGAGAGATTGGGGTTTTAGTCTCCCGAACAGAAGCAGTTAGGGTGGGGTGGAGTGGGGGTTCTGATCTGAGCCAAACTTTCTGAGACTCTGCTGGGCTCCAGGAGATACGCTGGGCTGTACAGGGCAGCCAGCCAGGCCCTCTCGGAAAGCCGGGAACATGGGGCCCTGAGATTCCTCCAGCTGCCCCCAGTTGCTCCAGGTTTTGGTTCCTGCAGGAGATTAATGACTTGTAAGAGTGAGGAAGGAAAGTGAAGAAGGCAAGGCAAGCACTGGACTCTGCAGGGCTGTGAATGGTGTTTGTGGAGGCCTGTAAGGCACAATTGCATTTTCAGTAAGGTAAGAAAATGGGGCTGAGTGCTGACTTGTCCAACTCTAAATTTTACTCAAACATATTGAGCCAGGTATGGTGGTGCACACCTGTAATTCCAAGTGCCAGAGGTGGAATCAGCCTAGACTACCTGGTGAGACAGTCTCTCAAAAAAATAGTCTATAGAGCCCCCATGCTGAGGGGAGGAGGTGGGCATCAGTTTTAGCCAACGCTTCTCATTTGCATGGTCAACTAAGAAAAAGGCAAAGGGCAGACATGTCCAACTAGAGGTGTGGACAGTGAGGAGCAGGGTGGGTGAGTCACTCCAAACTTCTGGAGTCAGGACAGCAGGGAGTATTCCAGGCGAAGGAAAAGACAGGAACTAAAGTCTTCATGGTGAAAGTGTGGTTGGAATGAGAATATGTGATAGTAGACGATAAGTCTGGAAAGGGAGGTAGAGGCAAACTGGAGAAGGCCAGCTAGTAAGAGATGCTTATTCTGTAGGCAGTGGGGAGCCACTGAATGTTGTAAAGTAAGGAAGAGTTGTCCCACCTGACCTGTTTTAGGAAGGCAGCTCTGATAGCCCTAAGAATTTGTTGGAGAGGGGAAAGCCTACAGGAACTCAGAGGCATTCACCAATTAAAAAAGAAAATGTGGGCTGGAGAGGTGGCTCAGCGGCTAAGAGCACTGACTGCTCTTGCAGAGGACCTGGGTTTGATTCCCAGCACCCACATAGCGGCTATGAACCGTCCTTAACTCTAGTTCCAGGGGAATCCGAAGCCCTCTTCTGACCTCTGCAGCATTGCACAACACAGGTGCACTCACATACATGCAGGCAATACACTCATACACAGAAAACAAAAATAATAAAATATAAAAAAAAGAAAATGTGGCTGAATGAAGGAGTGCAGAAAAAAGGGGAGGATCCAAACTCTTAAGAGATGACTCAGATTTATCAAGGAAGAATGTGGGCAGAGCCTGAGCATTTTTGGATCTCCAGGAATCTGACTTCTCACTCCCCTAAGACATGTGCATGTGACTGGTTGCTGTTGGGAAGGAAAGTCATACTGCTGTGTCATTTCTGGAGTGCTGCCCCAAGCCACAGGAACCTTCTATAAGGGGACACAGAGCAGTCCTCTTTCAACAAATATAGCCCCTGGGTGGTGAAGACACAAGTGCCTATAGAGCCAGCCTTCCCGCCCAGCACCTCTGCATGCCAGTCTCTGAGCACTTTACAAGCATTCTCTCCTTTAATCTGAAGTGCAGTCTATATGGAGTCAGGTGGACATTTTGTTTTGATTCATGAACCTTCATCCAATTCAACAGCTATTCATGGAGTGCTGACTCTGTGCCAGCCCACAGGGACAAGTCTGAAGAGTTTCAGTAAGACATGGGTGGCATTGGAGTCCATAAATGTTTCCTCTTGCCTAACAGTGGTCTCCAAGAGAGCCCTTGGCAGCCTGGGCCCCCTCCTCATGATGGAGGAATAGGAGGCACGGAGGCTAGCCCAGGGGTTGCAGCTTACCAGATAAGGTCATCAAGAATTATGGGCAGAGATTATGGAATGGGCAGAGATACTAAGCCTGTCTGCCATTATCTATTCATTCATTTAACAAGCATTAGCTAATCCCCTACTACATACATGCCAAGCCCTCTCACAATGGGTGCTGAAGATAGGAGATGATAGATGATTAAACCACAAGCCCCTTCTCTAGATGCTCCCTCAAGAACCCAGTCAGGGTCCCCTAGGATTTCTTTTCCCTGGAAGAAGATGCATTTTTTTCAGGTAAGACAAATACAGGGGGATCCTGAATCAAACCTGGCAAGAAAGAAGGCAGTTGTCAACAGAACCTTGAAAATGAAGCCTGGGAGCTAGGGGTGTGGTTCATTTAGTAGGAGTGTGGGTCATTTGGTAGAGCACTCACCTAGCATATGTGAAGCCCTGGGTTCCATCCTCAACATCACAAAAAAATAAAAGTAACGGGCTGGGGAGATGGTTCAGCGGTTTAGAGCACTGACTGCACTTGCAGAGGACCCTGGTTCGATTCCAGTTACAAACCGTCCTTAACTCAATCCGAAGCTCTCTTCTGACCTCCGCGGCCTTACACGACACAGGTGCACTCACATGCATGTAGGCAATACACTCCTACACATAAAAGATAAAAAAAAATTAAAAAAATAATAAATAAAATAAAAGTAACATAAATACCTCAGAAATCAGGCCTTGAACTCTCCCTTGGAAAGGGGGATCAGTGGGGATCAGTGAGAAATGAGCAAGGCACCTGGGTAACATAAGGGGCCAGTCTTTCCCAGCTGCCTCAGCATTATCCAACCTGGACACATGTTTCTGAGCTCATGTCCACTCCACCTCAGGTAAGGTGGCAGACTCCAGGAAAAGGGTACCAGCACTTAAGAATGAAGAATAGGGAGCTGGAGAGATGGCTCAGTGGTTAAGAGCACTGACTGTTCTTGCAGAGGACCCAGGTTCGATTCCCACCACTCACCCAGCTATGAACCATCCTTAACTCCAGTTCCAGGGGAATCCGAAGCCTTCTTCTAACCTCCGCAGCATTGCACGACACGGGTACACTCACATACATGCAGGCAATACACTCATGCATATAAAATAAAAATAATAAAATATTTTTTTTAAAAAAAAAGGAATGAAGAAGTGGTCCAGGAAAACCAGAGCTACAAATGGAGGGGAACTTACCTAGCAGGGGAGATTCCTTGATCAAATGGAGAGAGAGGAGGCTTAAGGAGTTCACACTAAGACCATGAAGACTAGAAGCTGCTGCTCCTTCCCTTGGGTGTCCTGTATCATATCCAAGCTTTAAATTCACAGATATTAAACTTTGAGAGAAAATAAAGTCAGTGCCTGACAAAGAGCTTCCAAGTTTTTAATTTTCCAAGAGGGTCACTAAAATATCAGGCTGGAGGGTGTAGCACAGTGGTAGAGCTCGTGCCTTGTATGTGCAAGACCCTAGGTTTAATACCCAGCAGAAACTATTGTCACTGAACACAACTTTTAAATTTTATTTGATTATGTGTATGTGTGTAGGTGTGTGCATGTGAGGTGCCCAGGGAGGCCAGAGGCATTGGGTCCCCTGGAGCTGGACTTAAAAGCAGCTGGGAGCCAACTGACATGGGTACTGAGAACTGAACTGCAAGAACAGTACCTACTCTTTTAACAGCTCAGCTAGCTCTCCAGCCCACCTCTGATCACAATTATTTCACCAAAATGAATTTTTTAATTTATTCTTATTTTATGTGTATGAGTGTTTTGCCTGCATGTATGTAAGTGCACTATGTGCATGCAGTGCCCATGGAGGCCAGAAGGAGTCATATCCCCTAGAACTGTAGGTTAGCCTCCATGTGGGTGTTAGGAACTGAACTGGCCCTCTGCAAGTGCAGCCAGTGCTCTTAACCTTTGGGCCATCTTTCTAGCTCCCAAATAAATTTTAATACCAACGTGTGTGTCTTTTTTGTTTGTTTGTTTTTTGGTCTTTTTTTTGATACAGGGTCTCCTTGTAGCTCCAGCTGACCTGGAACTCATAGAGATCTACCCACTTCTGCCTCCTGAGTGCTGGGATTAAAGGCTTGTGCCACACACCTGGTTTGTGTGTGCCTGTATATGTGTGTATGTGTATATAAAATATTCTGCCTCTATGAATTCAACCAGCCACAGAAGGGAAATTTTTTTAAATTATATTTGTAGCCAGGCATGGTGGTACATGCCTTTAATCCCAGCACTCAGGAGGCAGAGGCAGGTGGATCTCTGAGAGACTGAGGCCAGCCTGGTCTTCATAGTAAGTTCTAGGCCAGCTGTGGCTACAGAGAAGACCCTGTCTCAAAAAGACCAAAAAAAAAAAAAAGTAATGAATGTGTGCATATCTTTTTCCCTTGTCTTTTCTTTATCCCCTAAACAATATAACAATTCCCCCCAGTCCCCCCACTTGGAACTTTCTATGTAGACCAGGTTGTCCTCAAAGTCAAGAGATCTGCCTACCTCCAGGCCTCCAGATTGTTGGGATTAAAGGTGTATGACACCATGCCCAGGTACTATAAATAATCTTGAAATGAAAAGTATACAGGACAATGTGTGTAGAATATATTCAGATACATTACCATTTTATACAAAAGACTTGACTATGCTCAGAATTTGTTGTTCGCTATGTAGCTCTGGCCAGCCTAAAATTCACTATACAGACCAGGCTGGTCCCCAACTTGCAGTGATCCTCCTGTGTCAGTCTCCTGACTGCTTATAGGATTGTAGGTGTGACCTGCCACTGCCCAGTCAAGAAATTCTCATATCTTTCCACTTGACTGCGAACCACACTGATAGCCCTCACCAAATAAAGAATCTTAAGTAGCTCTCCATGACTTTCCAGAAACTTCGAAGAGCCGCCCCTGGGAAGCTGCCCATGGACATGCTAGTACTCGAGGATGAGAAGCGCCTTGGGGTGCAGAGCCCAACTTTACAAAAAGTTAAGGTAAGTGTGGGAGAACCGAGAGTCTGTCCTCAGGCAACAGGCAAGTAGTGACACCCGGCTTATCCCTGCACCAGCACCTAAGCACTCTGAGAGTTTGTGAACAACCCACCCTCTCCCAGTCACCCAACCTGCCCAGTCAGACTTCCCTGGGTCAGTGCCACCTGTCCTGGAAGGAGAGCCGGACTCGGTTTCGCTCCCAGAAGGTCTCCCTACCCACCTCACCCCGGCTTGCTTAGCTCCTGGAATCTTCCAAAATACCCCACATTCCGTGCCCTAGTGATGAGTCAATCCCCATGCAGGGCCAAGAGCGTGTGCGCAAGACATCCTTGGACCTGCGGCGCGAGATCATCGATGTGGGTGGAATCCAGAACCTCATTGAGCTGCGGAAAAAACGCAAGCAGAAAAAGCGAGAAGCCCTGGCTGCTTCCCAGGAGCCACCTCCAGAGCCCGAGGAGATTGTAAGGGGCCTGGAGAGGACAGATGTGGGCAGAGAAGCTGGGGAGTCCCCAGGGAGGACCCCTTCCTGAGCCCCACTCCCCGTCACCCGGCTGTCCTGACTGAACACTCACCCTACAGACTGGCCCTGTGGATGAGGAGACATTCCTGAAAGCTGCGGTGGAGGGGAAAATGAAGGTCATTGAGAAGTACCTGGCAGACAGGGGTTCAGCTGACACCTGTGATGAGGTGATGACCCCCTCCCCTGTGCCTGCCTCCCTTTTGGGACCACATCCTAACTGGATCATATCCTGAGTCAGCCCCATTTGGGGACACAGTCATGGATGTTCTTTGGGTGGATTAGCGTCTCTATAATGGATACTCCCTCACTCTACAATTCCCCCAAATCCTTCTTAAACCTTTCCCCAACTCAGACAACCTCCAGAGTAACAAATGTCCCATGTTTCTTTAGGGAAGATGAAGGAAGAGAATCCAGTTAAAGAGAACTCGGGATCAGGAGATTTAACCCTAAACCCCATGATTCCACTCTCTACTTGTGGGACCTATGACCAGACTGTCACCGCTCCAAGCCTCAGTTTCCTCTACTGTAGCATTGCCTACTGCCCTCCCAGTATGTTATGATCAAATGGACCATGAGTGCCTCAATAAGTATTTATTGAGTTGAAATATTATAAAGAATATGGTATTTTTTGTTTCTCATGATATAATCTCACATTTAAAAAATTATTAGTAGTAGTTTTAGCAGTGCTGGGGCTTTTGGCATGCTAGACAAGTGCTCTACCACTGAGCCACACCCTAGCCTCCCCCCCTTTTTTGAATTTTTGTGTATTTCATACATAAAATCATCTTTATACCCCTTTCCTCTTCCCCTTTGGCACCCTCCCATAACCACCCCCCCACTGGAGTTCATACATTTTGTCATTTGTATTAAGACCTATTATGCAGTTAGTGTTCCAAGATGTCTCTCAGTGCAAGTTCATCCACCAGGGTTTAGTCAGCCTATCTAGAGTCTCTCCCTTCAAGAAGATCAACTCTTCCTCACCCAGCAGTAATCAGCTGCCAATAATTCTTTGACTAAGACTGGGGTTTGCTGTTCATTTCCACAGTTCTGTGCTGGGTTTTTGTCTGCCTAAGTTTGCATGGGTCTTGTGTATGCTGACACCATTGCTGTAGGGTCCCAAGCCCCTGTAGGACCATTTCCATATGGTCATGTACCTCCTCCCTGGCTCTTACAATCTTTCTGCCCCCTCTTCCACAATGGTCCCTGAACCCTGGTTGGGTGGACCTCAATATAGGAGTCCTGTCCTAGGACCCACACTCTGTAGACTCTTATTCTCTGCATTTTGGCCATTTGTGGCTATTTTTATTATTTTATTGTGGCAAAATACACCATTTTGACCATGTTGATTCAGGGTGGCACTTATTACATTACGATGTTCTGCACCTATGGCTACCATCCATTTTTACACTTTGTCACCTGTCATATTTCTTTTTTCCTCTGAAATGACCTCTTGCCTCTTTTGGGGTTTTTATTAAGACAGGGTCTTACCATGTAGCACTGGCTGGCCGGGAACTCACTCTGTAGATCAGACTGATCTCAAACTCACAGAGATCCACCTGCCTCTCCCTCTCAAGTACTGGGATTGCAGGTGTGTGCCACCATGCCTGCCTGCCTCTTGGCACTTTTAAGGTGCTTCCTTGCTCTCACATCTATCATGGGACTAAGTCCATCAGTGGTCACCTGCCTTGTCTCTCTGCATTATAGTAAACTGTGACCACATATCTTTTCTGTTCTTTAGCCTCCAGGATCTTAATTCTTTTTCTCTGTCCAAGCACTTCCCATCTACTACATGCTAGGAGTACAAAACAAGAAAAAACAAAGGTGGAAGGTCATGAGAGACTTCCTGTAACCAGACCATTAGCATATGGAAGGACTTGCACTGTGGCACAAGAGTCCAAAGCAGCAAACGGCTGGGAGAGGGAGGGGAGGGAAGATTGTTCTTTGCTTGAATTGGTAATCAGGTGTGGCCTGTGCATTCTGGCTCTGCCTAGCACTGGGGGAAATAGAATCCAGCAAGACTCAGTCTGCCCTCCAATGCTCCCTTATATCTAGAAGTCTCAAGAAATAATGGCATATAAGATCACCATCAAGCATCATAGAATGAGGGCAAAATAGTTATGCCCAGCAGGGTAGTTAGTTGTGCATATCATGACTGGATGTTCCAGGGATAGTGAGGAGGCTGGAACCCCAGGGAAGGGTCCAGAACTGGTCTGCACAGACTGGCAGAACACAGAAAATGTGGGCATCCTACTTTGAGTTGTAACGAGACCTGGGCCTCAGTTTGGTGGGATATGGACTCATGCCTGGGGCTTACGCCTGACAGTCTCTTTGGGGACAGTTCCGTCGGACAGCACTGCACCGAGCCTCCCTGGAGGGTCACGTGGAGATCCTGGAGAAGCTTCTAGAGAGTGGGGCCACTGTGGACTTCCAGGATCGGGTGAGAGGGGAGGTATTGGGTGGGAGGTGAGGTGGATCTAATACCAATAGAATTCTACGTCCTGTCAAATCCATACCAGTAGGCTGCTCTCAGGCCAGGCCCCACCTCTAGTGGGTTCTGTGACATTGGGCTAGCCCCATCTCCTCCCTGAGCTGCCTCTGTAACTCTGGCTTGGACTAGCTGGGCCCTGAGGATTCTTCTTCTCCATTGCCTGGGCCCTGGGTTGTCTGAACTACTCTCTGTAGCTTTCTTTTCTTTGTCTCCTTGTCCTCGCGACTTGGGTCCTTTCCTCAGGAGATGTTCTTCCTTGCAGCTCCGCCATTAAGTTCCATCCTTCCCTTCTAGCTGGACTGCACAGCTATGCACTGGGCCTGCCGTGGAGGCCACCTGGAGGTGGTGAAGCTCCTGCAAAGCCGAGGAGCAAACACCAACGTGAGAGATAAGGTGAAGCAGCAGCAGTGCTTGATACAGTACACATGGAGGTGCTGAAGGAGGAGTGGGGGCGTGTGGTAAATGACAGGTCAGCTCAAGTGGCAGAAAAGTAGTGGGCTAGTCTGGTTTCTAGAGTTGCTACAGAGCAGCTGCAAGCCATTCAGGGGCCACGGGAGCAGCAAGCACAAAGGAAAGCGAGAAACAAAAGATCCACCATCTTTGGGGTGTGGTCCTACTGAGAAGATACAGAATTTGTGCCTCTATGCCATCATCATCCACCCATCCATCCATCCATTTGTGTATCTGTTCTTTTACTTTTTATTTGTTTATTTATTTATTTACTTAATTTTGGTCTTTTTGAGACAGGGTTGCCCTGTTGCCCCAGTTGGCCTGGAACTCACTATATAAACCAGGCTGGCCTCAATCTCACAGAAATCTGCCTGCCTCTGCCTCCTGAATGCTGGATTGAAGGGGTGTGCCACCACATGCCTGGTTTCATTTACTTATTAATCTGTTATCCTTCTAGTCATCCATTCCTTTGCACATAACCCTGAACAAGTCACTTGGCCTCTGAGTCACTGTTCATCTGTAAAACTTTGTCGAATTCTTATGTAGATTGGGTTGGCAAATGTATGTAAATAAATTACTTTTCATTTATACCTTTTGCCATGTCTGTCACAGTCGTCTCTCAATAGATGATATCTATTGTAATTATTTTTTTGAGACAGGGTCCCCCTGTAGCCCTAGATGGCCTGGAATTCACTATGTAAGACCAGGCTGGCCTCGATCTCACAGAGATCTGTCCTGCCTCCACCCCCACCCCCAGTACTGGTATTAAAGGTGTATATCACCACACCTAGCCAATAAATGATATCTATTTTATTTATTAAAAGAAGAATGGGCTGAGTATGTGACTCAGTGACAGAGTATTTGCTTAGCTGTATGTGCAAAGCCCTGACTTTAGTCCCCAGCATCCCAGTAAATAAATAAATAAATAAATAAATTAATTAATTAATTAAAGAAAAACCTAGGCACAGTAATGCACCCCTGTAATCCCAGCACTTGGGGGAGAGAGGCAGAGGAGTGAGTGTTTGAGCCTAGGTGGCTTTCAGAGTGAGACCCT